AGGTGTGACAGCGACGTTGCGTCTGTGGATTTAGACCTAGTAGCTTATTTATGTGTTCACACAATTGCTCGGTAAAGTTTAGCTGCATGTCTTACTTTCACAGCTTTTCCATATTGCCTCTTAACACCTGTCTCCATCTCCACTGGATTGCATTTTTTTATGTTATGAATACATAATTTTATTTTCTTAAAAACTTTACCTATTTTTTTTATAAATGTGATGAAATTACGTTTTATAAAATGACATTTCAAAAACTGTAGAAGATATTTTTAAAGAGTGTCTTCAGACCATTCTCAGTAGAGAAGCACACACACACAGGGAGTGATCCATTGGAAATCTATTTTAAAACCCTAATCAGCAAGCCATTTTTATGCATAAACAATTAAATTATAGTCTTGCCTGGCAAGTTTCCAATTACAGCCCCAGAAAAAGTTTGTAATACGCGACAAGACTGGTTCATTATGGGCAAGCAGTGTGTTCCGATGGGGTTGTGGTTTGTGTATGTGTGTGGGTGCTGTGTTGTCCTGTGTCAGCTAAAATGCATACGTGTTTGCTCCTCCCCTCCTTGTATTCATGCCTCTGGAAGACGGATCACTCTGGTTCTGCATCAAGAGCTCACATTTATTCATACATTTTATAATACAAGTTATCTTTAGGTTAATATGTTATTGTGGGAGAAGTTGGAATGGTAAATCCTGTTTGGTATGTGCTTGTCCATCTGGGGGAGTCAAAGACAGGCGGCTCCATACGGCCATGTACCTGACTTGGACGGAGCAGGATGACACTGCCTCCCGTGGAGGTGTTGGGACATGACCCGCACCCCACCAGGGAACCAGATGAGTGTGGAGAGACCATCTGAGACCCCACAGGCCCAGCCCACGGCCATGGCTGGGGTGGTGTTTTCCAAAGGCCGGCAGAGCAGAGCCAGCAGCCCTGGAGGGCTGGTGGCCTCCCCGTGAGCCTCCTAACTGGGGGCGGCTGCCTGGGGTGCATTTTTAAGTTGAGAGCTCTGATGACAGCATTCTTGTTCTTTTTTGGAAAAGAAGCGATGACCCTGTCTTAAATAGCAGTTTTTGCTTGCAGCTAAAAAGAATATCAAAGATCTGTTGATTTGGCCGCTGATGAAGGAGGGCCAGTTGCTGGGAAATCACTTTCTGACTGTTGCTCTTAAGGTTCTCAAGGAACTTTTGTTAGTGGACTGTGGGTGTCAGGAAGGGGGCCATTTAGGGACCTTTTTCAAGAGGAGCCAGTTTTGTTGATGTTACGATTTCCTTAAGATAGTGGCGTTTGGGGCTTAAGTTATTACTCCTGTTACAGTGTCCCCCCCCCCCATTTCCACATTGATATATTTTCACCTTGGTAATATCTCTGAGTTCTTTCACACTGTGCCCGAGCAGCTCTCCCAGGGATTTACAGCGAAGCTTAGTTTTGAAAGGTGGGGGTGGGTGAGAAGAGGAAAACAAAAGAAAGAAGAGCTTGTTTTGCTGATGGCAGGGGCACCGCTCATGTCCTTCCTTGAGGATCCTCCTGGAACTCACAGGCCCCGTTGGCTTGGGGCTAACGCTTCTCAGCTGGTCTTGGAGGGTGCCCGTGAGAACCGACCCTCTGCTGTGTTTGGGCCCCGAGGGAGGGTACCCAGTCCTGGGCGGATCGGGCTGTTGGGAATCAGACACCTCAGGAGGCCAGACCTGGGGAGGAACCGGCCCTGCCAGGCAGCGAAGATGGCAGCCGTGTGTGGACAGCGGGGGACGAGGACCCCCCCTGGGAGGGAAGGGAAGTGCAGTCACTTCCCTTGGACTGGCAGCCCAGCTGCCCAGGCTCTTGGGGGCCTGAGACCACCTGGCAGGTCCTGTGCCTGCGCCCTGGTGGCCTGGTGCACACACCCCTGCACCTCCCCTCTGCAGCTCACAGGGCCTGGGGAGGCAGGACATCAAGGTGGCCGGATGCATGTATCCCTGTGCCTCCCCTCTGTGGTTCACCAGGGCCTGGGGCGTCTAGGCAGGATGCCGTCAGATGTCCCATGGGAGGTCTGGCCCCAGTAGGTGCTTGCTGCCTCCGGATGGGTACAGGGATCTGGGGGACATCCTGAGGGGAGGGGCTCCCTGGGGCTTCCCTCTCAGCCTGGGCTGTGAGGGCTGCCCCCCAAGAGCCAGCTGGCTGGTTAATGGGGAGCCAGGGCCCCCGGGTCTGCTCTGCCGCACTCCATGCTGGTGCCGGGACCCCGGCCTGCTGCACCCCATCCCTGGAGCTGCCTGGCAGCCTGGGGAGCCTTTCCGGTCACGGCCCCTGGGCTCCTGAACTTGGGGTGGCAAAGAAGGCAGGAAATCAGCCCACCACAGAGCATTGGCATTTGTGATGATTGGAACATGTCTTCTTGCTAGAAAAATCCACTTTTATTTCCAGGTGCGTTTGTGAGTTGAGCACAGCACTCCGTGAACCTTGTCTTTGTGGCTGGTGTTTGGCTGTTTGATCCCCTTGAATTGAGACCTGTCTGCCTCTGATAGTCGGTCAACCAGTGAGAGGTCCAGTGAAGTCTGTAGGATCATTTCAGAGCCACCAGTTTCCAGTGGTGTTTTCCTCCGTAGAATTATTTCTGTGCACTTCTTTAAACTCCGAAATCTTTATGCCCAGATTAGATCATTGAGCTAAGTGTGAATAGTGTGTTTCTTCGTTCATATATTAGTATATCACAGTCAGCATCTCGAGGGGATGAAATAAATCTTGGGGTAGGATGCAGGAGGATCATTTGCCATGTAACCCATACATAACACACAACCATCCAGAACTGGTGCCAGGACCTAAACAGCTTGAAAAAAGTACTTAAGTTTGCTGAAATCGTCACTGAGAGGTGTTCTCTTTAACCTCATTTGTCCAATTTTACGGGGAATTTTTCTTTATTTCTCTTATTGGAGTTGTTGATTTTGGGGGGGGGGCTCTCTCTTGGCTGCAGGAACTCCATGCACCTGTTAGTGTAAGGAGTAAGCCATACCTGTGTGCCTCTCTGCTTCCCACCTCTTCCCGCACTTTGCTGCTCTGGCTGCACTGGTTTCCTTAGGTGCCTGGGAAACCCGTGGCACGGCGCTTTGTCAAGACCTGTCTTAGAGTACATAATTTAAAATTTAAAATTTTAATAATTAGAAATTTAGGTTTTAATTTTAATTTAGACATTTAAGTTTCTACTAAATTAAGATTTCTTCTAAGGGTCTCTGGGAGGCGGGGTTTGGAGGAAGCAGGAGGGGTGTGGTCTGTGGGGGGGGGCATCTGCCAGCTGTGGCAGCTGCACCCTTGTGGCCAAGTGGACAGGAGGTGTCGTGCGCTCAGATCCCTGCTGGTGGGCAGGTTCCCCATACTCATCATTTCCCTGATCTACTCTCAGGATTCTTTCCTGCATCTACTCTGCAGAAGACAGGTCAGGCTGGACAACCCAGAGCAGACAAGGAGTCGCCACCGGGTCTTCTGGGACAGAACCTTTCCTTTGTGAGCAAAAAAATGTGTATTAGTACATTGGTTTAAAACGAGAAACCTTTAACTTCTTCATGCTTTGTAAATTTTACAGTAAGAGTTCTTAGTGTGTATGAGGTTGTGAGTTTGTACAAAACATGACTTCCTTTTTATATATGTCATGGCTAGTTTTAAAGAAAATCTGCCCATCTGGGTGCCTCTCTGCAAGTCTAGGGTCCCACCCCTGCCCCCATAGGGAGACCCTGAGAATCCTCTCATTTCTGCTTAGAGGTAAGAAGGATAAACAGACCGCGTCCCAGGGGAGCTGTGGTGTAGCTCTGCCTCCCTTTCTAACCCCTCAGAATACTATTCGGAAAGATGCCCTCTCTCCCATCCTTTCTAATTGGCTCACTGTTTTGTTTATTCTACTGATCACACATCAGATGGAAATTCTCTTTTACTGCAGATAATTGCTTTTTGGTGTGTACTGTCTTGGGTCCATTTGGCAGCTTACAGGCACTCAGGTTGGCTTTCCTGCGGCGTGGGTGGTTGCCCGCTGTGTGCCAGGCACGGCACTCGGCCACCTCCCTTGTCTGCTTTGTCTCTGCTTGTGCACAGGGTGCTAGAAACACCCAGACACCTGGAGGAGTGGCCCCTCATTCTCTGGAAGGTGGGATGGGCATGCACATGACAGTGATGGCACAGTGTGACTCCTGCTGTCTCCAGGGAGAGGCATACCCTGCTTCCCTGGGAAGGTACTATGGGAACCTATGCAGAAATTGGGGGTTCGGGGGGGTGACTGCAAGACTCCTGGGGTCCAGAGGGTGTTCTGTGCTGGGGCCCAGACTTAGCCCTACAGCAAGAGCCTAGGGTGCCTTTGGGGGACTGGGGTGGTGGTGCAGGATAAAAAGAATAGGATGGGAATGGGAAGGGCCCACAGGGTTGGGGCTTTAGGAGGCAGTGGTTTCATGGCCATAGGCAGCTAGAGTGGTGTCAGTTGTGGCTGCCGTGCCGAGCAGCCGCTTCCAGGTGGAGACCTTGCATGAGCTCAGGGTAAATCACTTGTGCTCTCAGCTGAAGTCTTGTTTCCCTGACGTCTAAACACAGCAGTAGGTTTGTGAACTGCCTTTGCGGCTCACTTGTCCTGGCCACGAGCTGTGCCTGTGTCCTTGGCCGCCCTTCTCCCCGGTCCTGTCTCCTTGGTTCTTATCCCCACACTCTCTCCTTGGTCAGTGGCCTGTGTTTCTCACCCCCTCCCTGCCAATGTTACTCACTCTGTCTCTCCTTAAAGACTTGACATCTTTTTTCAGAAATACTATTTTAGGGTGCAATCATGTACAATTATTTAATGATTTAGCACACACTTATCAATAACTGTTTAATTATTGATCTTACAGAGGAAAGCAGCTGCGTGCACATCTATTTGAATTTGTGTTGATGTCTTCTTTGGACTGGATCGCTATCTTTCAGGAGCCCCCATCACTCCCTGTGGATGTTACTGGGTCCCTGTTTCGGGGGGAAACCTTGTTCCTAAGATCTCTGTGTCTTTTCTGTTTTAGGTGCTCTCTGCTGCTTGCCATGCTTTCAGGGTAGGATACACGGGCTGTCCTGGCAGGTGCGTCTCTGCAGCTGGGAAGCAGGAGCCTCATCTGAAGATGGAGAGATAAGACGTCGTCTGGCAGGCTTGGGTGACAGAAAGTGCCCATCCCGGCCGGGGAGCCCGTGTCCTGGAGATGGATCGCAACCGAGAGGCCGAGGTGGAGCTGAGAAGGGGCCCGAGCCCCAGCAGGGCCAGCAGGAGCCCCGAGGTGGACGGAGACAAGGCCATGAGCCACAGCTGCTGCATCTGTGGCAAGAGCTTCCCCTTCCAGAGCTCCCTGTCTCAGCACATGCGCAAGCACACCGGGGAAAAGCCCTACAAGTGTCCCTACTGCGACCACAGGGCTTCCCAGAAGGGCAACCTGAAGATCCATATCCGCAGCCACCGCACAGGCACTCTGATCCAGGGCCACGAGCCAGAGGCTGGTGAGATGCGTGTGTCTGAGGGCCTGGACGGCTGCACCAGCCCTACCAAGAGCAGTTCAGCCTGCAACAAGATCCTGAACGGGGCCACCCAACTGGACGACAGCAAGATCCTGCTGAGGAGCAGCAAGAAGGAGGCGGAGGGGGCTGTCTGTGCCCCAGAGGAGGGCAAGGTGGCAGCCCAGTGCTCCTTCTGCAAGTGCAAGTTTGAGCGGAAGAAGGACCTGGAGCAGCACGTGCACCAGGCTCACAAGCCATTCAGGTGCAGGCTGTGCAGCTACATGACCCTGAGGGAAGAGTCCCTGCTGAGCCACATTGACAGGGACCACATCACAGCGCAGGGGCCCAGTGGCACTGAGGCCTACGTGGAGAACGGCAAGCCCGAGCTCACCCCCGGTGAGTTTCCCTGTGAGGTGTGTGGCCAGGCCTTCAGCCAGACCTGGTTCCTCAAGGCCCACATGAAGAAGCACAGAGGCTCCTTCGACCATGGCTGCCACATCTGTGGCCGGAGATTCAAAGAGCCGTGGTTCCTCAAGAACCACATGAAGGCACACGGCCCCAAGACAGGCAGCAAGAACAAGCCCAAGAGCGAGCTGGACCCCATAGCCACCATCAACAACGTGGTGCAGGAAGAGACGATTGTGGCGGGCCTGTCCCTTTATGAAGTCTGCACCAAGTGTGGGAACCTGTTTACAAACCTGGACAGCTTGAACGCGCACAACGCCATCCACCGCCGGGTGGAGGCCGGCCGGACGCGGGCCCTGGCCGGGGAGGGCGCGGCCCAGGGTGGCCCCCCGGACTCCCAGCAGCTGTTCCTCCAGTGCCTGAACCTGCGGCCCGCCGTGGCCAGTGTGCCTGCTCGCGGGCAGGCGGGGCGGCGTGTGGCCGAGCTGGACCCAGTCAACAGTTACCAGGCCTGGCAGCTGGCCACGCGGGGCAAGGTGGCCGAGCCGGCCGAGTACCTCAAGTACGGGGCGTGGGACGAGGCGTTGGCCGGGGACGTGGCCTTCGACAAGGAGCGGCGCGAGTACATCTTGGTGAGCCAGGAGAAGCGCAAGCGCGAGCCTGAGCCTGGCGCACCGGGGCCCCCGCGCAAGCGAGCGGGTGCGCCCGGGGACCCCACGCCTGGGCCCCTGGACCCCAGGCCTGCCGTTCGCCCCAGCCGCCGCGCCGCCGCCCCCGCGGGCCACGGCAAGTCGTCCGAGTGCTTCGAGTGCGGCAAGATCTTCCGCACCTACCACCAGATGGTGCTGCACTCCCGGGTGCACCGGCGCGCGCGCCGAGACCGCGACGGCCCTGGGGACCGCGCACCCCGTGTGCGCTGCGGCTCGCTCAGCGAGGGCGACTCGGCCTCGCAGCCCAGCAGCCCGGGCTCGGCCTGTGGTGCTGCCGCCGACTCCCCGGGCTCGGGCCTGGCCGACGAGGCTGCGGATGAGAGCGGAGAGGAGGGTGCAGCCGACCCTGCACCAGGTGAGCGTGGGCGCCTGGGTGGCTGGCTGGGTTCAGGGAGCTCTGCACCTAGGCGACCCCATGTCGGGATGGCCCAGAGCCCGGGCATCCCAGGCCCAGGAGCCTGGCATTCAGGCAGCACAGGTCCAGGGAGCCCTGTGCCCTGGTCCCCCTTCCCAAAGTGTTCCCAAACCCAGGGAGGTCAGGTGCCCAGGTAACATGTGCCTAAGTTATGCAGGCTCAGGTGGCTCTCTGACCCGGTAGTCCTGGCACTCGCATAACCCAGGCCCAGGTAGTGGGGGCTCAGCCCTGCACCCTTGGGGCCTGGTTTCCCATAGCAGTCTCATACCTGGGTAGACTCTGCACCCAGGTAATGCTGTGCTTGGATAACCCTTGCCTGGGTTTCCCAGACCCAGGTGGTCCCACAACCCAGCCATTACGTAGCTAGTGTATTCTTAGAGCTCAGGCTGGTGCGTGCAGACAGAGGTGCCGGTCAGCTCCACTTCAGGCTCCTTTCTTGCTAATTTGCCCATATGTGTTCACATTAACTAACACCTTTGGCCTGTTGAATTAATGGTTTCTCTGGGGCATCAGCCATTTCTGAGCAAAGAACAGGTGATGGGACACCTCCATGCACAGTCCAGAGCCTGCTCCCTCACCATGCGGCATGTGCATGCATGTACACATACACACTTTGCTCTTCTCTTTTGCACCAGACAGCCGAGTAAAAGAGTAACTTCAGATTGGTGTGCAGTTATAATTAATCTCCTTGGATTCAAGTAGCCCTGTGGGTTTAGAGATGGCTCATTGGAACAGATGACTTTCCAAAGAGTAGCTATGTAAATATTTAAAGATGCTTGGCTGACTTTGTTTTCATCATTTTCCTAGTTTTTATAAATCTTAAGCGTTTTGATATTTTATTCATTATTTTTTAGGAGAAGGTGATGTTCCAGTTAGAGAACTTAGACCTTTCTCTGCATAACTGAGACTGTTCCTCTCTTCTCCCTGGAAACTGGTTCATGGATGTTGCTTTTACCTGATAGGCCAGGGATGTAGAAAGTCAAGTGCTTCAGCAGGGCTATTTTATAGTCTATAGTGAGGAACATGACCCTAGTGCATTTCTCCAAGACAAAACACAAATCTGCGTCATTTTTTCCTTATTAGATTTAGCCAATTCTCTGGAACAGAGTTTACTGTGGGTTTATACAGTGTATTGTGTGAGAGTCTATTACACTCAAATTATATTGAGTCAGTAAAAGTGTACAAGAAAGTTGTTTGTCTAATCCCGTAGAGAAGCCTCTGCTGAACCCGCACCTCCATCTTATCAGCATCCGTATAGATAACTGAACAGTAACACATTATGCCCTGACCCTTGTTTCCCATTTCCTTTCTTACTCATTAACCTGTGGGAAGGAGCAGGAGAATACACTACTCTCTGAAAATGCAGTGCTCATTCTGTGATTCTTGGAACAGTTTGTCACGGAAAGTCTGGCAAACCCAATCGCGACCTTTCGTTCGCATTTTTGAAGAGTAATTCTTAGTTTTTCTCTTTAAAAATTTTGATAATGATAGATTTTACTGATGATATTCCAATAATACTATGTTTTTTTGGAGCACACTAAACCTCTTTTTTTCCCGGAAGATAAGTATTTTTAATATTTGGAAAAGCTCTTGAGCCTTTCCCTCATCTGTCATGGCGGTGGTCAAATAATTAATAATCTGATTCAGTAGTGCTTTGAAAATCATGATGCTGGAAAGATCAAATGATTTTCTTTTACTCTACGTTGGACTTTACTTTTTTTCATTTCAGCTTCATTGAGATAATCATTTACCTCTTAACGAGATTGTTAGTCTTTTCTCTGTGTGATCTGCTTTTTGAGAAACTTGATACATCACATTTCTGTAACAAGTGCCTGTATCCTAGTTGAGTTCAACAAGTTGACAGTAGAATCAACAGACTATTGTAGATCATCCAGCGGCTAGAGAAGGAAGTTTATGTCATGACAATGGCGTAAAGTGTTGAAGAACATGTGAGTCCACATTGGGTACCTTTCGTGACTCTGAAGGATAGAATCTTACCGTCTAAAACCACCGACTTTTCAAGCTCAGCAGGCCCTTAACTGGTCTAGCGTGGGTATTAACCGCTGCTTCCTAGATGTTCTTTAAGGAGAGAGATGCACTTTGCATGTATGTAACACCCGACAGACACTCCCATTTGCAGGGTTTGGCTAAGGACTTTGGGAAAGTAAATGAGTATTTTGAATCCTCTGTTGCAATCTGCAGCGTGCCTTTGCTATTACTAAACGATGCCTTAGATCTTTACACATGGAGGCAAAACTTAAAATACTTAGGGAATTTTGATGGGATAGCTAGTGAAAACTGGTAGACGAAATACGTGGAAGTTGAGAACAAAACACTACTCATTCCCATAAGAATCATCAGGCTTCTGGGGGAAGCAAGGTTGACATTAGAATTCTATCTTTGTGACCCTTTTTAGCAATTCCCCATCATGCCCTAATTTTACCCAAGGTTTCATGACATCTAGGAATGGATTCAAATGCTGCTTTTGGCTCTAGAGAAGCTTTGCATTATCAGATTAATTAAAGATACCTTTTTTTTTTTCCATGAAACATTCTTTGTCGAGTGTTACCGTGTGCTTGTTTGGAAAGCTCCAATTGTTACATTGCTTTTATTTCCACAGAAAACTGGGTCCCAGCAGCCCCCTTTACTGACCAAAAATGGTAGAAGAACAAACCTGTGAATAAAATTACATCAGATACAAAATTATTGAGTTAGATTTCAGTCCTCCACCAAGAAAGTGACATGGCACTGATGGAAAGGACACTTTTTGGAGCTCACGAAAAAAATAAAACCTTCCAATTAGGGAAGAAGAGCTTTAGAAGGGTGTGTAATTCTGCGTAATTCAAATTTATAAAAATGAACATTTCCAAATACAAAACCGAGTCAGGGTGTTTTGAGGTCATCATGAGGACCAGAGAGTGTTATTTCATAAGTAAATAAACCACAGCAGAATTCTGCTCAGGAAGCAGGTGGGTAACTTAGGAATGATGGACTCGGGGATCCCTGGGTGGCGCAGCGGTTTGGCGCCTGCCTTTGGCCCGGGGCGCGATCCTGGAGACCCGGGATCGAATCCCACATCGGGCTCCCGGTGCATGGGGCCTGCTTCTCCCCCTGCCTGTGTCTCTGCCTCTCTCTCTCTCTCTCTCTGTGACTATCATAAATAAAATAAAAATTAAAAAAAAAAAAAAGGAATGATGGACTCTGGTGGGCTTGTCAAGAGGTCGGTTCACCACCTGTGCCATCGTAAGAAGCACCTTTGCGTGGCCTGGCTAGTCTCGGCCATCACAGGTGTTTCAACCTGCCTTTGGGCAAAATGCTGAGGACTTCTTTCCTATCGTCTATCTGCATATTGTTTCTGCAAAAGTCACTTATGGGACTACCCAGGTTTTGCCCATTTCTTGTTATTCTGAACTCTGCTATCACATCAAATCCATGTTCTGTTGTGCCTGCTTACTTTTTGGATGCTCAGGGCAACATAATCGCTAGTAAAACCACAAGTTTTAGATAAAGTCCTATGAAAGCGCAAATACTTGTTTCTGACCCATAAAGATGTCAAGCCCTGCTCAGCCTGATAGAGCAACAGGTTCTTAGAGCAAGTGCCACAATGTTATATGCAGTTTGAAGAATTAGGGAGAGATTTTCCAGAATGAAGCCACATCATCAGGGAATGGAAAGACAAAGGAAGAAATGGATTTACTTCAGAAAGCCCCCATCTGCCTGGCTTTCTCTGCTTGTTGCCCCCTCAGGCCAACAGCCTTGTATGTCAGGGCTCATCTTCTTCCCATCACAATTGAAGGAAGACCGCCATCTTTTAACCATGAAATAGTAGTTAAGTACAGGCCTTGAGACTGACTAGTGGTCCAAGCAGTGCCCAGTACGATTATGCAGCTGGTACACAGGGTAACAACCATCCTGCTATTCAGAGCACGAGCAGTCATTAGAACAGCTCAGGGAGAGAGTGTTCCCATCCTGTTCATCCTTCAGAGCAGGATTTAGGGTGAATCTCGCTAACAGAGGCCGACATGGATATGGGGTGTGCCAGTGAGAGGTGTCTGTGCATGGCCACGGGGTCTGCTGACCTGGGAAGCGTTCATTAGTACCTACTCTTTGAGTTTGCTTCAGTGTCGAGCAGAGGGAGCTCTGCAGGATGCTCTGTCCCCACTGTGCTTCTGGCCAGTGCACCTTGGATATGTGTCCTGAGTGGCAGAGTCAGCCCTGAGGCTCCATGCAGAGGGCGGCTCCATGCAGTGGGAGGGACTTCTGCGTGGGCCCCTCACAGAGGCTAACCATGGTACAGCAAGTCCAGGGCTTGTGGTGGGAGGGGACAAAGCCAGTGGGGTGGGATGGGGCATCCCCAGGTGCAGGCAGGAGGCCACAGGTTGTGGTTGACCTGGGGAAGGAGAGCATGCACATTGGGGGACAGGTCCAGGCATGCACCAAAGCACTGCTGGACGGGGCGATGGCAGGTGGTACTTCTGAGGGGCCTGGGTGGTTGGGGGCATTGGTTACAGATGAGCTCGTGGAACTGGGAGCAGCAAACCTCTAAGGGCCAGCTCTCCAGTCACCAGGCGGGTCACCTAGCCTCCCTTTGTCCAGTGTCTCTCTTGAGCTGGCCACATGGAGGCCATTGCCTGCAACATCTGATAAATGTCCCCCCCCCCCCCACAGACTACTGACGGCTCAGGAAGTGCCCTTGTGACACGCTGTGACACTGGCGGCAGGTGCCAGACTGTCATGTGCAAGGTGCTCTCCGCTGTGTGGCTCGAGCCAGGCCTGCCGCGGCTCCTCCTGAGGCCTTGTTCCCCCCCAGTGCCATGTAAGCTAGAGAGCAGCACCACAGTGGGGTCTGCTGAGAGTTGATTCCAGTGTCCTGGGAGCCGGAGGTGACAGACAAGCAGGTCTGGTCCCAGTTACAGGAGAGCCGTGCAAGGAAGCGGTTC